ATCAATCAATCAATCAATCAATCAATCAATCAATCAATCAAATCAATCAATCAACCCTTTTTTTCTTTATTTGTTTTAAATTTTTGCATCTTCATTTTTTCTAAACACGTAATTTGCCTACAAAAAACCGAAAATCATTTCTAAAAAGAATACAACGCAACTGCCACAACTAAGGGTCCATATCCCTCATAATAAAAAATGGCAAAATAAAAGTCCTGCTTTTTTTTTTTAATAATATTTTGTTTAAATCGAATTTTGTTTTTCAATTAAAAAAAAAATTAAACGAAGTCAGATTCCAAAATAAAAAACATATGATTGTAGGGTTTTCCAAGCCCTACATCCCTATAATTTTTTTTTTTTTTTTTACGTATTTTTAGGGGGGGGGGGGGATATTAAAAAAATAGGCCGTGGACCGGGCCTCATCGGCCGCAGCTACGACCGACTTTTTCGGTCGCAGCGACCAAATTGCCCGCCGCCTAGGCCGCGGGTGTCACGTAGGCGTCTTCACAATGTCGCATTGTCGTTGTATTGTCATTCACAAGTACTGTCCGAATCTATCTCCAGTGCTCTGGCAACCTTCCAGCTGCGAGGAACAATCTGTTGTCCAAGAATCGATGTATAGTGGGGGCTGGGTGCATCTTCAATGTCCGGGGAGTAATCCCTTCTGTGGCACCACCCGTGGGAAGTCCCTGCTTGGCCGGCCTTCTGTGGTGGGATCACGAAGCGGATGTGGTCGGGAGGGAGGGTAGTAGGGCAGGATTGAGGGAGGGTTAGGGGGAGGGATTGGAAAGGTCCAAGAGAGAAAGAAGGTTAGGATCTGTGAGGGTGGATGTCAAGTTTGAAGAAGGACAAAGTTGGTTGGTTAGAATGGGAATTGAAAATGGCATCTTGGTAATCGTTCCCATTGAGGTTCCGTCAGCATCCACTGTTTCCATCGCAACTGGTTTTCATGATCCAATTAGCATAGTTTTTCTGCATTGTCCACCGAGATATACCGAAAGTTATATACGAGTTCATTCCATTTGTTTATATCTGATTCCTTCCGCAACATATTTCTGAGCTCTTGCCAGACCTCATGTGTGTTGGCGATGATTGTTTCTAGAATCAAGGCCCGAGCCTCCATGAAACCATATGTATGCTGTCTGTGCTCATGCCCACATCTCATTCGCCACGCAACAATTAACATTGGTAGTCTTGTTAGTGCCAGCAGGTTAAGACTAAATGGTGTCCACCTGGCCTTTTGCGGGGGCATTTCCCCCAAAAGGATGATCTTGAGGTCCCATGGGAGGTGGTTGCCAGTTCGATGATGCCATGCTGCATCCCACCATTGCCAAAGCCGAGCGACCATGGTGCAGTCCACCAGGCAGTGTTCGAGTGTAGCTCGTTTCTTAGGGGAGGTCCCACTGCAGTAGGTGCAGAGTGGAGACAACACACCTTGGTCTTCCAACTTTGTTCTAGACAAAATCGAGTCTGGGGTAGGTAGACACCTGTGAATGATCTGCCACTTCAGTGGCCGCAGGTTTATAGGCCGTATGACCATGTATGATGCCCATCTGATTGTGCTTAGATCTTCTTCTTTGAGATGGGACTCTCTTGCCCACCGCAGTTTGATCAGTTCAGATAAGTGTGCCGGTTTCCGTGCTGTTCTGTACCCATCCTTAACCGTGTACTGCCATATCTGCAGTTTACGGGAGTCCCCCTTGGGCCCCTGTCCTATTCCCATTCTTGTGGGTCAAATGGCAGCTGACAGAGGGGTACAACTGACTCTTATACGAAGGGTCCCTTGTCATTAGCACTTATCACACATATTCGAACGAGTCCTGCGACAGGTGTCTGGCAGTCCAGGGTGTCTTGTCGGTCCAATTTGGACCATCTTTCGCCGATGAGTCGTGGTGTGTATGCCCTAAGGCTCGCCTCTAGAGGGCTAACGTCCTCTACAGAATATATCACCATGGGGTTCGGCCAGTCCTCTGGTCGCACCACCCAGTCCCCTAGCCCGACCGACCGTATTGTCGGACCCCTTTTGAGTTTCAGCACCCATGCCAAGGGAACAATCTCTTGGATCTCTTGCAGTCCTTCTTCCGATTTTCTGACGTGGTGCAACTTTTGTCGAAGGTCTTGGACCAATAGCCACGTGCCTGCATGAATATTCCACAGATCAGCCACTGTGTATATCCCTTTTCTTATCCAGGGACCATGGGAGCTATCTCAAGCCCGTTTGCGGCGAAAAGGGATTACTTGTATGATCTAATATGAAGGGTTTCCCAAACAGAGGTTGTCTCCATATTTCATCCCATCTAAGCGGGACAGATTTCTGGGTTGTACCTCATTCTCTCCACAACCTCAGCATATCTGTCCATAGGGGTTCGGCCGTGAGATCCCATTTGGCAGTGGAGGCAGGCGTATCATCCCTTTTGTTCCGAGGCGGTGTGGGGAGCGGCCAGTAATTGTCAGTTAGCCATTGCGGTGGATGGACACGATTGCTATCTGTGCACTGTGGGGCCAGGGCAAAGATGTGAATGACTGCATATGGTGCCCTGGGGATATTATTGCCTAACAACCATCTTATCAGCAACTTAAAGATCAAGACTTTTGCTTCATTCTCCAGGTCTATTATGCCTAAACCCCCCTTGGCTCGTGGTTGTATGATGCTGTCCCATGCGACCCTCCTAATACACTTGGTGAATTCATGGTCCCCTTGCTAGAGGTAGGCGGACACAGCCCGTTTTAATGATCTTAACTGTCTCCGATTTAATTGCCAGACGGCCACTTTGTACCATATAGCCGCAAATATGGCGTTATTGATCGCCAGTGCTCTACCAATCAACGAAGTGTGTGTTGTTGTCCAAATATTCGTACATTGAATTGCTATGTCCACCAGTCTGTCACCATGGTCGTAAGGGGGGCCAAAAGCAGTGAGGTTTACCCCCTGGACTCTGATAGCGACATACCTTGGTTTCTAGTCAACCCTTGGTGCATCAGGTGGTGGATTGTCATTTACGCTAAGCCACCATCCCTCTGTCTTCGTGCCCCAGTTCACTTTCATGTATGCCGCGACCTCAAAGAAGTGGATCGTTCGTGCCAATGCCTGAAAACTGGCATGGTCAGCTCGGAAGAGGACAATGAGGTCGTCTGCAAAGATGGATGTGACTGGGACAAGATGATTCAGAATTTCTTGCACTGCGATTCGTTGTATCTCAGGGTTGACCCTTATCATCGCCGCCAATGCTTCCATCATCAGGAGTCAGGACGAATAACATCGTGGCTATAGGGTCTCCTTGTCTCACAGATCTCTGCAATCTAATTGGTGGCGCACTGTGTGTCCGAAACTCGATTGAACGGGGGGTTTCCCGTTGAATTGTTCAATGGCTGTTGAACCCCCGATACAACGCCGCCCTATACCGCGTTAGAACGCAGTACAACGCGGCCCACATTTTTTTTTTCAGGCAAAAAATAATCAAAAATAAAAATAAAAAATGGGGGTGTAGATTTGTTTGCGCTCTGCATCCCCATATTTTTATTTTAATGCTACGTTGCATAGAGTACATGTACGGGGGCTTCCCGTACAAAACGTACAGGTTATTTCTGTACGGGATCTGTACGGGAACCTGTACGGGAACCTGTATGTCTTGTACGCCCCCGTACGAAAAACCAAAAAAAAAAAAAAAAAAAAAAAAGTCATAAAAAAAATCCGAAAAAAAAAACTATGTGATGCAACAACACAAAACAAGCAACATTTGGCTGAGCATCATCTTCAGATTCTTATTATTTGAGTTTGAAAAAGCTTGAAAAAACAGAGAGGAGTGGGTATGAAAGCGTAGACAATCACACAGTAAGAGTCACACAAAAAGAATCACTCGTATTTCATAGACAAGTGCATGCGAAGCATAACACGAGAACACAAAATACAAAATACAATCAAAGAAACCATAGCCGGTGGGTATGGCACCCCGACCGGTTTCGACAGCCGCCACACTGTCTTCTTATACACATCTAGATGTGTATAAGAGACAGCCCTTCACTAGACCAATCTTAACCACACTTCCCCTAGCTCCGCCGGGTTTCACTCTGCGCATTTCGGGAAATGCAGCGAGTGTCCCGCGTGTAGTACCCGGAAAGACCGAACACAATGTCAATGATGTATTTTAATAGGGACTGCCTAGTCGCCTGTTCAGACAGACCAGGTAGCACGTACACTAGTGTTCAGCTCGGTAGCCGTAAAAAATTGTAAGTCCTACAAAACCCGCTCGAATCGGACAGCCGAAAAACGAGAAAACAAAAAAGCAAAAAAACAAACACAGGGTCACCTGTCCAGAGCCAGTGTCAATGTCTGGCCTGAACCAGTGCCAAAGAAACAAAATAATGCAGAGCCAACGGCCTCTAATAAACACGAAAGAATCAAACACTCCTAGCCACAACACTAAGCCTACTAATAGCACACCAACTCACACAACAATGCACCTAAGATCACCCTGTCCCTACATCAGACTATCCAGAAGCTAAACTTCATTGACCCTTGGACCAGAAAAACAGGTACAAATACAAAAACACTCGATGTATACAGAAAATTATCACATACTACCGATACAACCTGTCCCTATTCGCAAAAACAGAAAACAGGTAATCAAGGGGAAGAATCAACAACAACCGCTTATTGTCGCTTTTTCGACGTAGTAATTACCACGTATCATCCCCGAAAAGCCAGCTGTATGTCCATGACCAAATTGGATCTCTTCCTTTCGAAAAACGTTTGAAAACGCGCTTCAGCGAGGAAGAAGGAAAAGACTTGATGCGTAGTTCCCTCTGCAAACTCAGAACTCTCAAGGGAATGGAGGACAACACGTTAGTATTCCATTCTATCCGATGTAGGCAACTGCCCACCACAACGCTCTTTTGTTCCTTACTGCCCCACGAATTGTATGACTGCCCGTTCTTAAACTCCAAACAGCCTTGCTCCCATAATGACCTCTCGTTCTTCGATGACTGGACACACTGGATGTAGGGATACAAACCCTCAATGCTCATGTTAGTACCCAGAAAAGACCATGTGCCATCATCCTCATCAGTCCTTTTTAAGGTTAAATTCGCAGGGTAGCAGCATTCAAACGATCTTTGAATCTGCTCCACAGGAACCTGATTTCGCCCTCCTCTCAGGATGACCAGGCTCACGTCATCCATGAGACGAATACCGAAAACGAAACGTCGTCATCCTCCTAAGCTTTGTAAGAACTGATATTCTGCGAAAGCACAAAGCATGCAGGCGAGGGGTGGGCTTGTTCCTTTCCCCATCGGGATACCCACCACTTCCTGCAGGAGCACACTCGTCGCTTTGGTGTAAGTGTGCCTCAACTCCCACTGTGCAAACACCTGAATCAGCTCCAACTTCAGCAGACGCCAGTGATCTTCACCAGTAGTAACTCCAAAAGAACAACCTTTGCCTCTCATATTCACCCTGATACACTGTCTACCTTTCTGTCGATGGTAATCAACCACCCAGTCCACAGCCTTCACAATCTCGGTATGGGGCAGTTTACTGAACATGTCTTTAATATCATAAGACATAGAGACAGGTTCAGAAACGCCACTTGTGGTCTGACGGATCTTCTTATTGGCTCGTTCCAATCGCGGCACCAACTCCGATACCGCCCTCAAATTAAAGTGCCAATCGCCAGGTATGGTCAATAGTAAGTGGTTCAGCGCTTTAGCAACTACTCGATATGTCCGAGTTGTTGGTTCGGAAAAGGTCGGGCAGATTGGTCTAAAATTAGACAGGTCCTTGTGCTTAGGCAAGATATATGCCTCGCCCACCTTACCTTTCGAATCCCATCTGACGAATTGTTGCAGACCCGATGCTCTTGCATCGTCCTTCATCTTCTGCTGGATAGTCGTCTCACTGTCATTCACAATTGTGTACCCGGTTGATAGAACAAACATATCCATCATGGCATCAAAATAAAGCTTAGGACACATCACTAACGTCTCGCCTAGGTTACGATCCAAGGGAGTCAACACCAAACCCTCCTGCTTCTCTTTCAAAGCTTCAACATCCTTAGTATCCAAGTACTTCTCTCCTATCCTCACGGTCTTTGACATACATCGAATGACCTCACGCCTCTGAACGGTGATCCCATCCTTATCGCTATTAATCCACATCGAGAACCCAGTTGCAATCTCACGTGCTAACAGACTCTCGTGATCCGAAACTTTCAATTTCGGCACATTATTCGCATTGCAGATCAACGGGTTGACCCCTTCCAGATCCTGCAATTTGAAGCGAACATGGCCTCCCACCCGAGGGTAGGGCATACCTGCGCATGTGCAGGTCAACACATCAGTCATGGCGAAAAGCCGCTGATTGTGTAATAGCGCGGACACGGAAGGGTTTTTAACCCAAACGATCCGAACGTTGCCACGTGCCGCATTCTTCAGACAGGCTGGAATGCTCAATTGCTCAATCTTATCATTGACAAGCTTTCGAACCTCTACTAGTCTGATGCGATCGTCAAATTTCAAACGTATCACCAACTTAGCGTTCAAACTCCAACCAAACTTCTCCTTGATAGCTCTAACTATAATCCTCCGTAGGAAAGCGACATACGAAGCTTTACAGAAATCACCCGCTGCTTTAGTCATTCTCATCAAAGCTTCCACGCTGCATTTTTTCAAGCACTCCATTCGGAGTGGGTTACGGAACAGGGAGCGCAATAATTTTTTGTCAGGTCCAGCTTTCAGTTTCCATATCACAAGATGCTCAACCTAAAAAATCCCCCTTCCCTCCAGAAGTCTCTTTCTTGCCCGTAGTTTCTTGCGTAGACCACCAATAAGTAGCTTGGAATTGCCAAAAGCCAACTTCCAACCCCCGCACCAACCGTTCCCTGGATTCACGGTGAGCTCAAATCTTCGACAATCAGCCGCATATTGATCTTCAAGCAGATGATAGACATCCAAACTCCACTCATCCTCCTCCCGAAGTTTGACTTTGACCGCCAGAACAGCTGAGTCCTCTGCTGGCGCACGCGCACCCTTACCAGTCTTTGCGCGTTCACGCTTCCCTCGTCTAACTTTCTTATTCGTGGTACGGCCGACCTGCTTGCCTGTAGCATTCAGAGCGTGAGACCATCGACGGATGTAGAGTTGTTCTAGAACTGGTAACTCCGAGGCCGGGCATACGTCAATAGGCAACAGAACATAGGACTCTGCACCGAAAACTTGCCACCACCTATAAAGATGCGTCTGCTTAGTATTGCGCCCGCACACATATAGGTGCTTCTTCCAACGCACGCTAGCTGTCCTCCGTGTCTGTCCTACGTACTGCGCTTTACACGTGGACGAGGTCAAAACGTAAACACCACTATCATCACCATGGAAGATCTTAATACCAAATCTCCTATAGAGATTGATCCATGATGCAACACACTTGCGTAACCATTTGATCTGATCATAGAGGGCCAGCAAAATGATTACGTATCTATACAGTCGTTCGATGTTGGCGTCAGAAGTTCTCTCCCGTCGAATATCTACCAAGGCTCTGCACAGATACCAATAGTCCCTAATACTTCAGTTATCCGAATCTTCCGAATAATCTGCTTCGTCAACATTCATTTCGTCAACATATGGGGCCTGATTACCCCCCTTGATGAGTGCCTCACCTTCCTTGATCGTGACCTCGGTAGTCTCCTCATCGTTGCCTTCGACTCCGTAAGCGACATGAGTCCGCTTCTCCATAATCACAAAAATCGTATCCATCTTCTTCTTTTCCTCGAACTGCACATCCTCCTCCCGACAGATTTGCTTCAGTTCGTCGACGTTCAAGTCTCCTAGTTCTCGCAGGTTGTCCGTGACATAGCGCAACTTCCCCATCTGTCCCACGGTCGCTAGTATCTTCTTCTTCTTCATAAGGCTTCGCACCGGTGTCTTCCTGGTAGTAGGTGATCTCTTCAGGGCTGGATGTCGACAGCTAAGGACCAATCGCTTAGGGTCCAACTGCCCCCGCTTGGTTGGGTGTTTCGCCGGAGTCACCATCGGGGGGCTATCACCAACAACCCGTTCTGCGCTACACTTCCTCTTTTCGCTTATTACGAGACCTTCGGCTTGCTCGCTAAGTGCTTCGACATCGCTGTTACTTGGATTTTTGTCATCGTCACTCCCAGATGAGTACACTGGAGCCTTCCCTTTACCTTTGATTGTCTTGCTCGCTGGTAAGGTGTCAAGTATTCAGTGATGGAGTTCCTCACACACTCCGCTGACATGTCGGCGAACTTCCATCCTCAATTCCTTGCGTAAAGCTTCACGAAAATCAGCCTCTTTACGCTTCTCCTCTTCTTTCTTAATTCGACGTTTCTCTTCACGTTTCTCCCGAGCCACCCGTGCCTCCTCTTCTCTCAACTCCCGCTCTCGTTCTTCCTGCTTACGTTTCTCCTTCTCTTTCTTCTCCCTTTCTCTATCCTCCTTGCGCGCCTGCTCAGCGTCGATGTACATCTTCATAGTCGCCAGAGAGCTAGTGAGGTCGTCGAGTTTCTTTCGTATCGCCGGTTTTTCGGATGCCGATCGTTGTTCACGTAACCACACCTGGTTAAAAGGCGAAGTTGATCGTCCTCGTTGGAAAACAAGAATTCTCAGACTGCTTTCGCCCACCAACCTAGGGCACTGATTCTTATAGTGCCCTGGTTCGCCGGACTCATAACAAACGGGCGCAAAGCGTCGTGGCGGATCTAGATAACGTTCCTGACGTTGTTCTCCATGACGATCGCGTCGGTCGTCAGTGTTATACTCCCGACCGCCGTCGTTGATACGTCCATGGTACTGTTCCCCATCACGTCCACGATCATCACGTCAATAATCCCAGGAGTCCTGTGAACCAGCGGCAGACATCCTAGACCCCAATAGAGTAACCCCAGAGAAGCTCGAAACGGTGATCGCGTCGAAACAATGATAAGTGAATCAGTTCGTGCTCACACTTGTCGGGCAGCTTCCCGACTGGTTCACACGGGCCTTAAGAGTTTGAAAAAACAGAGAGGAGTGGGTATGAAAGCATAGACAATCACACAGTAAGAGTCACACGTTTCAAAAATCACTCATATTTCATAGACAAGTGCATGCGAAGCATAACACGAGAACACAAAATACAAAATACAATCAAAGAAACCATAGCCGGTGGGTATGG